GAGAAAAATGGAAAGGTTTCGCGTACCTCGGGCTTTTCTTTACGCACATTCCCCTTTGTTTTGTATGTCGTGTGCACAACAAGATGCACACAAGAGATGATTATCTTTTTTGGCGTTTCACAATGACCCTTTTCTTTTAGGGGACTGTGACTGGAAAGATATAAAAGATAAGAAAAAAGATTGCAAACTACAGATGATCACAAAGATGGTCAGGGTCGGTTCTATTTACACGTTATAGGCAATTTAATCTACAGTTTTCATTTCTACCACTTGCAGTATTTACGATTATTCTCAGGTAATAAACATTATCAATGCAGGTGATTCACAGTAGTGCCCCTCCAAGAGTTTGCGACGCGTTGGCCAATCACAACGCGTGAAATCTTTCAACCCTTTCCAAACGCGCACTGGGTCGATAGTTTTAGCGCATTGTGATTGGCCAACGTGTTGCGAACTCTTGGAGGCGTACTCCTGTGAAACGCCCGTAGTAGTCAAACTAGACCATACAAATGACTTTGTGTTAAATTGATTGATACTCAGTTACACGTACTGAGAAGGTGAAAAGAAATAAAGACAGTTTCAAAATCAACTCAGTATTCTTTTGAGTGTGAACCCTTAATTTCAAACAAACAACTCACAAACATTAATATGGAATGATTAAAGCCAATGCCAGCGCAAATGGTTCCATCCTTCGGGGTAAGCAAGGTTGAAGTTCTCATTTTGTTTTACCCTTAGGCTTATCCGGTTGTGCAGAATCCCGCTAATGGTGACCTATAAGTTTTCGAAAAGATCTACAATGTGCCATTGTTTTACAGTGGATTGTATGTTATACCATGACATGTGGCACACAAAGGCCGGAATCTTCCCCCGACAGTTTCTTAGATATTGTGACATTGTAATAAGTCAGGGTTTTGGGGGGGGGTGTTTGTTTGTTTGTTTTTGTTTTTTGTTGCTGAGATTTTGGGATTTTCTCCTGATGTCTTTGATTCCTTTTTGGTACTGATTTCATGAAAACGAATTCATGTCATGATAATGTCCTTTTCAAGACAAGAAGGCCCGGCTTTTCCCAACTTTTTCCACCAATGACTGAGTTCATTGCAAGGGTGACAGGGTGAACCATAAAATACCATAATAGCGAAAGTATTAATTCTAAACTTTACATGTATTTTAAATGCATGGATACCTTTAAATGCATTTGACGTTTGGAATGTATGTATGTTATTTTGCTCCGGTTCGCGTCTTCGGCTTCAGGGTTGTCCTTTCCTTCCATGTGAATCACTCCAATGCCAGCTGCCGCTCGCTGTCGAACAGGAGGGCCATGGAACATTGTGACAAGTTGGTTTGCACAAAAGACGACAGAATTTTGTATCTCGGCTACAGTTACGAAATTGTGACTTTATTGCCTGAAAATTTAGTCAGGAATCTGCGGCTCTGGAACCGGGCCAAGGCGGTGTTGTTGAGTGTCTTTCCTCCGTTCCGCCGAAAATCTGCATACGCTCTTGCTTCTCACAATCTAAGTGGATTACCTTTGCAGATAACCTGAGCTGCCACACACCTGAGCCCTAAAAATAGCAGGCCTACCGTCTGATGTGCAAACCTAACCGCCAACATAAAATTGTTGCCCTATGCTTGATATTACACACGGTGTATTGTGTCTGTTTTCTTCCCGGATTAGTAACTTTGACGAGAAGGTTCTTCACTTTCTGGCGTGTCAGAGTCCCTGCACTATTGGTACTGTGGCAAATTTAGCTTTTGCAAGTGTTTGGAGTGTAGATATGAGTAATTTTCTGTCTAGGTATCGATACAGGGAAAAAGACCTCCCCACTAACAATGTGGAATACTTTTCGGGGGGCGGGCAAAAATGTGAACCTTTTTCATGTAGCCTTCTGTTTGGTGGGCTTTTTACATGCTTCAGGAAAGAAGAGAAATGAATCATGACTGAAAAAGTACCTGTTTTCATTATTTAAAAGTAAATGACTCTGTTTTGGGTTAAAACAGGGTGGGTGTCTGAAGCCCTATGGAAAGTTTAAAAACCTGCGTCTTACAATGAATTAACACGTAGTTATTATGCGACTTGTGAAATGTCTGCGAATACAGTGAGAAGAAAAGCGAAGAAAAACAATTACGGTAATTTAGTCTACAAAACTTCGTCCATGGTATCTTCATTTGTAAATACCCGCTATTGCGGGGCATTACTCCAATGACAGATCCAGAATCAAATTTATGGGAGGCCAAATGCGTTTTCGAAAGAGGGGTGCAAAAATTTGGATTTTTTCTTGTAATCTTTTATGGCCTTTGAAGGGGCAAAGTGACATTCATCTCAGAGGTGTTTTGGGTCCGTCAAGCTCACTGTACGCTCATTCAACGGTTAGTGCACGAGAGGTTTGCTGTTGGATGATCCCCCTTGGATAAGAGGTCCGCACTTTCCGAGGTGATTGCGTGAGCAAGGAACTTACGGGAACGCACTTCAAAATGATTTCAATGACAAATACGGAAAAAAGCAGTACTTTTCATCATCTGAGCTTACAATTTCAAAAATTGAAATAGTACCGATAATATGAAAATTTAATTGATTTTTGGTGTTTTTGGTTTTTGTTAAAACAGAAAAGGGAAAAACCGGCCACCCCACCACGAACCTTGTTTGCGTGTATCCATTGTTTGTATTTTCATTGTCTCTGCATTATTAAGTTTTTAATTTCATGTCTGGCATTCATAACGGGACTCAGTGGTCAAGTTTTAATGTTATATACTTTCATTAATACGCTCAAAATCGTTGCATTTTGTTTTATAAATCATTGTCAATTCAGCCGGTGGTTGCAAGTCGTGATTTTAAAAGAAACTACTTTGAATTGAATTTGAATTCAATCTTTTGTTGTGTTTTACTTGTGCATTATGCACTTGTAATACTTCATATTTGAATTTGGGGGAAAAGCCTTAGCCCACTAAGTATGCATTTTCTGTCAGTGGCATATCCAGGGGGGGGGGAGATTCAAAAGCAAATAATTTGTGACGATTTCTTTCATACCAAAGGAGGGATTGGGAACCAACAGTAAGCTGCTCTCGTTTGCACGGCTTGGGGTTGGGAGCTTATTGCATCAGTTTTTGCAGGCAACACAGTTTTGCAACCATCACTTTCGATCACTGACGTCTTTGGTCAAGACCAAAGATTGTATAGCGCGGCGCTATACAATCTTTGGTCAAGACTATGTTCCACCAGGTGGCTCACGTCACTCACGTAGAGGGCGCTATTGAAAAATCTACACGACTTGCTGAACGTTGAACTATGTACATTATGTACACACATGACGATGTATGTATCAAATTGTACGTTCGCAGCTGCCGCAGCGGGTTCTTCGATTTTACTAGGTGGTGGTACGTATTCTTCCGTGCTTTACTTTTTGGGTTCAAAACATGACATCTTGCCTCTGAATATTTGTGGTGGCCACTTGGTTTGGTTTAGTATATTTATCCATTTATCTTGTGACATAAAATTACATTGGTGAATGCACATAATGAAGGGGGGGCTGGCAGAAAGCTGCCGCTAAGTTGCAGTCTAGTTGTACGACTACGAGGCCAGGCCTCCATTATCCTACAATTGAATACAATGTCAATGAGAAAAGGTAAGTTCAGCAAAAACTTCAAGGTTATTATTTCAAAGAGGAAAAAAGGCATGTGTAGGACAGAAAATACTTCAAACTATTAGAGAAAAGAAAACGTTAATCGTAATTTATCAATCAAATTTCAAATCATGGAGGTAGTGAAGCTGGTGCTGGTATAGGCCTAAATACAACTCAAACTTAATTAAGCATTAAATCATTTTAAGTGTAATTTTTTCGGAGGAATTCCTTAAGGTATTTAAACTAAATCCGTCTGAATCTGATCGTACATGCTGTAACGTTAGCGAGTGGATTTTTATTTCCTCCATGACATGGTATTGGTAGGGGATAGCCCTACCTCCAGGCATAGTACCGGGCATGACATGTGCATTTAAGCCTATACATTGAGCCTACCGTAGACCCGTAAACAGGGCCCTACATACCAGTACATGTAACTCCTTCGTCGGTATACATGTACTGAACCCTGAACTGATTGATCGTGATTCTTTTCAATTGAGTTTATCCGCCATGTCCGGGGACAGTATCAGACATCCGCTGGATTTTCTGAGCTGAAAGTGCACTGGTAGCTAGGCTACAGTATGTTCACTACTTTACAGAATTTACCTGTACATTTTTGACGGCTGTTTCATATCACGTCACAGAGAGCAAGCGGCATTACAAGTTCCATGATTCGTTGCAAGCGGTATTTGACTGGACAGGGAACTAGCCAAGGGCAGTTTTGTGCGTTACATGTACAGTAGCTGTGACACAAAACCGCCATATTTTCCACGACTACTTCGATCAACAGGTACTGTTATTGATCTGAAGGAATTCTTATGTACTGAAGTCTGGGTGCAAACTACACAGGCTCTCCATACAGGCTTGGCCCTACTGTCATTTAACCATACAAAGGAGTCTATGTGATGTGCAAGTTGGGCCGAGGTACATGTACATCTAGAGTGGGGAAAAGGCCAACTGAAGGAAACATTTTTTCCTCCAAACGAGGAGAGAGCAGGTTTTCTGCAATTAGCAACCTGGGGGGATACATGTAGTTATCCTCGTAAGTAGTGAATATTCATATCGGTGCGATTTCAGCTCATAAGATGGATGTTTGATAATATCCCCGGACGTCCGGGATAAACTTAATCAAAAGAAATCACTATTAATCAATACAGGGCCTAGTATATCGACGAAGGAGAATACGTAGGGCCCTGTTTACGGGTCTATCCCCCAGGTTCCTATTTGCAGAAAACTTGTCTTTCCCTCATTTTGAGGAAAAAATGTTGCCGTCAGTTGGCGTTTTCTGCAAATACTGTAAGTACAGTATATGTTCTGTAGACAAAATGTACAAGGTACAGAATAATTGCATCATTTATTAAAAATTATCGAAACGTACGGAAAGTTGCAACATTTTTCATTTTTTTAAAAATAAAACTAATCTTAAGGCCCTAAGTTATTAATATTTTCAGTTGTTGAGTTTTTGGAGATGCAAAACACAACAATATAGGAACAGAATATGTGGAACATACACCGATGGCCTGAGTGATCAATTCTTCAAATTGATGATGATGCCTAGTTAGTCATGTTAGCGGATCTTGGACAACTTGACCATTCACCAACTCAACTCGGGACTACTCGACTGGTGGGACATCAAGCCATTGAAGCCTACCCAGGCGTGCAATTTTCCTCATATCAGCTGATTTCTTCATTTTTCACTTCACGCTCATGCCATTGAAAATTGAAAAACACTGGAAGTTGTCCAGTTGTGAATCTGTTAATTTTCCCAACATGATATATAGAGTTCATTTAATCGTTCGGCAGCATTTTATCATCCGTTTCCTTAAGTTGGCAGCATCAACGTTACTTAAAAAAACAAGTTCTTAGAAGTATTTCATAGAATTGTGAACGTCAAAGCTTGATCACTCATCATTTTGCCATCAAGAAACTTTCACCTCCAGCAGCTGCAGTGCAATCGATCCCAGGTGTTCGTTATCCATTTCTAATGCACAGTTATTGTACATGTAAATCTTTTGCACTCTGCATGCTTGCCACGCGCGTGTCCTGCGTGTGTCGTGTATTGGTACAGATAATTCAATGCCATGTGATCAATGATCCACCAATCAGACGACCGGCATTTTTGCAGGTGTTGTATAATATTTTGCGGTCATTCCTCCGAATGAATTACTCCAATGCACATGTACTGTAAATTACATTTATTATAGCATTCGGGACATGACGTAAAAAAGATGTGAACATCTTGCAGGAGATAAGGAAACGTGCACGTAATTAATGCTGGTATCATTTACAGACCCACCATACTTGAAATGTTTACAGTAAACAGCATGTGAGGGACAGTACATCATTTGTATGCAACACACACATGTACACAGTTACACGGTTACCAGTACATGAACACATAGGGGACGTCAGAGTGGACGTACATGCTATCAGTGACTGTTGTTCCCAACCAATCAGAATGCATGCTGTTGTGCAGAATTCAGTCACCTGAAGAACAAACCTCAGCCCGTCATTGAGAGGAACAAGCAGAAACAAATTGCATCTTACATTTCAAGACATGTACATTTACGGCATCTGGTGCAGTGTACTCAGTCTCTGTGTCAATTGTTGTACAGTCCATCTCGTACAAAGAGGCAGAGGAACTAGTTTTCTACAAATTTTAATGGACTGTACACATCTGTGAGACACCAGGAGCAGTTGTGTCATATGGAACGCTGCATGTGACCACCTTCATATTTTCTGCATTACACTTGGTGAGCACTGTACGTACGGGACATGTACTCCGTGGTTGCTGTTTCATAGGGCATTGCCGATTTTGCCAGTATGCTTATAAATTACAATGAACAACAGAGTTTGGGATTATTTACCTCCAATTTAGCCCAGTAGATCCGTGATCAATGCATGTCTGTTCATTCTCTTCTTAACTTTTAAGATGTCTTGCACTCAGATGTATGGTCCGATTCTGTTGAATATTTTGTATTTGTTTGGTAACTGGTTGCGTGATTGGTATTTATAATCATAATACAAAGGATCATAAAGCTGCCCTGGGCAGGAGTATTTACATGTACATTGGTTTTCCTGTGGCTATGTGTAGATCTCAGCTCTAGGATTTTGGATGCTGCTCTCTGGTGTCGGTAAGCATCTGGCCTCTTCCTGGTGTTGTCGTCGGCCCGCTTCCGCCCTCTCCTTACTGACCGTCTCCTTCCTTGCGGTGCGCACCTTGTGTAGCGGGGACCGTGGTGCGTTTATGTGTGGGAATTCGGCATCCAGCATGGCGAAACCTGTGATTGTTCCAGCAAAGGGATCTCACACTGCATCCGTGAGTAGTTCATAGGCTTGGATGAGAATTGCATTTTTCAATACCATGATGTCTGTGATAAAAGCATCGCAATATTCACTAAAAACGTGGTATTTTTTCAAGTGCGGTATTACGTCACCAAAAAGCAGTGGTGATAAGCTGACGTTCATTGGGAATGCTGACAAATACGGGCCAGCATGAAGGTTGTTGTCAACTTGACAAATTCCCCCAAACTCAAGAAATATAAATTACGATTTATCGGTCTATTCAGTTTCCAATGAATATAAAAGAATAATAAACTTTTATGGCTGAATTTGCTGATTTTTGAGGTGAGAATGACATAATCTGCCAACACAGAAAACTAAAGCATGGAAATGAAATAACAGGTTGTTGGGTTATGACTGTGACAAAGCACAGTCCTGTAAAATATTGTTGGGGACTTCCAGTCAGACACTATGAGCTACACCTCGCCTGCAAACATGACTTCAAAACCATTTGGCTGGCGGGTTGGCAGCTACTTAACTTACATGTCACCAAGTCGAGCTTGACAATTACATCTTATCTCTCTGTTACAAATGACAATGCAGACATGACACTGGATGACTTGTACCACAAAAAATGGAATGAAATATTACAATATGGTGGTTTCCCTATTTCAAAAGAGGTCTGCAAATTATTCATGCACATTAAGCCCCCCCCCAAAAAAAGTCTCCAGTTTCTAGTCAGCGCGCGTGTCGCCTTAACCGTGCACGTTTGCAACCTAAAAAAGTTTTTATTTAGTGTAAAATGATGTCCAAAAGCTGCCGAATTTGTTTAATTGACTGGAATCCTGCTACTTTAATTTTAACATATTTTTGATGCGGTGCAGTTGAGCAATATATACAGCAAAGGAGTCCCTCTAATTCCCCATACAATTAGTCAGGTATTCTCTTTCAGATGATGTCGTTTCTGCATTATACATTTGGGAACCAGACAAATGAGGTGGTCTTATGTCCTGCGTACATGTACAAGCTGAAAATGCCTTTAAAAAGTAAAACATGTGGGGCCCAGGCTATGTTAGTGTTGGTAGCAGCTGACATTACGTGCGCATGCAGTCACGATGGACATGGTATGTTATAAGCACATCACTTCCAGAAAAAAAAGTGAAGGTAAAAAAAAGCCGTGTTGCCGCACCGGACCAGAAACTGGAGACATTTCTCTGAT